GAGAGAGAGAGAGAGAGAGAGAGAGAGAGAGAGAGAGAGAGAGAGAGAGAGCGAGAGAGAGACGGGGGAGGGAGAGAATGAGAACGGTAGATGAGATAAGTGCGGGTTCTGAAGCAGTCCAGGAGTGTCAAGGCGGTTCCTCTACACATTAGGGCTTCGTTAAAGTGTGTGACATGAGTGTGTTACGTCTATATAGTAGACGCTATATATATTTCTCCGCATCAGCTAAATTATAGCTCTGATAACGAAGCAGAATCTATTCTTGGCTCGCCTCCTCTCTGTTCCCCCGTCGACTACCACTTACTTAATCGATAGTTATCGTGCAACGCCTCCGTACTTCAACCCTCTCCCCCTCTCTCACACACACGTTCACTCTCTCGCTACCTCCTTCCCTTTCCCCACCTCTTCCTCTCCATTCCTCTTCCCCTCTCTCACGCACACGTTCACTCTCTTACTTCCTCCTTCCCTCTCCCCACCTCTTCCTCTCCATTCCTCTTCCCCTCTCTCACGCACACGTTCACTCTATCGCTACCTCCTCTCTCCCCACCTCTCTCTCTCTCGCTCGCTCTCTTGAGTGGTGCCTTCGTACACAGGAAACATAAACTTGGCATTAACTAAGCCCCGCAGGTACACTGATGAGTCGGTAATGTCTCAACCCTGTCATCTAATATCCGGTGCCGTGAACGCACCCCTCCCTTACACGGCCAGTTAGCTGCCTCGTCTGCGCAATCAATACTTGTCGACGATTTCTAGTCACTGCGTTTATTCAGCAGGTCCAGTGGCGTGAAATGACATTGTCTTCCCTTGCCAGAGTTACGAACCTGAGAGGGAGAAATATTTGAGGAGGCTCACGCTGCCAGCAGATGGAAATGTTTCGATATGAAACAGCATGCGTCCTCATCTATTCTAGTAATGTAACCACGACTGTATAATATAGACTGTACTTAAGACTATATATATAATATATTAGACTGTCTCTATATTATATAGTTTATATTATACATTCCTGATATAATGTTAGCTTGCGACATCCAAATGGCCGTTTCGCAAAAATGCGTCGGATAAGATCCCCCGCCCCTTCCTCTTTCTCCCCCAAGAAGCGGGTAAAAGAAGAGTTGCAGAGTTTAGATGCAGGAGTTCGTCGTTATGAAATGCGGCATTTGGTTCTGCAATCTGCGGGTATGCGTTGAGGCACTGTAGGTCTGACACACAGTGACACGCACTTTACACATATAAACACACACACACGCACGCACACACGCACGCACGCACGCACGCACGCACACACACGCAGACACACGTACACTTCGCAACCTATCGCACTGCGTAAACAGACCGCTTCAAAGTCTATCTAGAATGTGCAGTGCTGCGAGTACGTATACGCTAGCAGAGCGCACGACTGAGCGCGCATGTATGCATGCAGCGCTAATGAGTTTCCCGCTAAGTACCGTAAAAATGTATTGCAATCAAGTAGATGACGCTCGCACGCACGCATGCACGCACGCATGCACGCACGCACGCACGCACGCACGCACGCACGCATCCACGCACGCACGCACGACTGCATACCCGCGCGCGCACGCTCACCGCTACGACCCACACTCAATATACTAATATACTAATATATATATTACTAATATACTAATATATATATATTACTAATATATATTACTAATATACTAATATACGCTGCGAGTGGTAGCGGGCTAAGGTCCGCCTAGCTGTAGCTGTAGCTGTAGGTGGAGCTAAGCTATGTTGCTTAGGTCGCGCTTGCCGAGCCTAACTGTTTGTCGATATGGTGGGTCGTCATTGAAGCAGCATGCAAACACGTGTTCGGCCATTTCTCCTCGTCGTTTGCTATGCGCCGTCGCCGTCAGCGTGTTTTGACGGCGCGCGAAATCGACGTGTGAAACTCAGAAACGGCATCTGGAGAAGCAGAGCGTTCCGCATCCTCGTCGAATAGACAAATCAAAATTTTCGCTCTTGAAGAATGAAGTCGAAAGTAAAGAAATGCAGTCATGCCGCGACTGCGTCATCGGCTCATTAAATTAGTTCCGCTCCTCAGTTTCCGCAGAATAGACCAGTTTGTGGAAATGTCGCTGTTAGATATGTGTGTGTGTGGGGGGGGGGGGCAGAAGAGTCACTTATGCGGGCTTGTAGCCACCGTGTGTGTGCGATGCCGCTTGATAGTCCCCAGCCATTGCTGTCTATACGAACCTCGTTGCGAAACGCTGATGCTGATGCACTGATGATGTTGTATGCATGTACTATCATACTATGGTGATGCAGTATAGAGGGAGATTAATCACGCTTGTTTTAATTTAGCAGCCAGCAAACCCCGAGCGTCGCATATCGAATTCTAACTGTATGAGCGCTAGCCGCTAGGGGTTTCGTGTTTACTGGTTGCGTTGTGCGTGGTTTAATAATGTTATGTGATTAAATTCGCCGGTTTCTCTCTATACTATGTAGTGATTGTTCAGAGTATGCGCGTCTGTATCCCTCTCCCTCCCTCTCCTGTACGCGTACCTGCATCCCTCCATTATCCATACTCTGCACTCTCGCGCGTGTGCGCGCGTGTCTCCTCTCTACTTTCCTCCCCTCTCGCGCTCTCCTCTCTGCTTTCCTTCCCTCTCGCGCTCTCTTTCTGTCTTCCTCTCCTCTCGCGCTCTCCTCCCTGCCGTCCTCCCCTCTCGCGCTCTCATCCATCTATAACACAGCATGATGAGGAAACGCGGATGAGACGTATAGTCCCCCCTGTGCTCACGGTAATGACACATTCGCGCGAGCGGCTCCATATAGCATCCGCCTCTGCGCCTGTTCTTCCCTATCTCTCTGTCTCTCTCTCTGTCTCGCTCCCTATCTCTCTCTCTCTCTGTCTCGCTCCCTATCTCTCTCTCTCTCTCTCTC